GTAGCCTTGAAATCACCTCTTTAAAAGCCCCTGTTTCGGTGATGGGCAGAATCACAGACTCTGGGGTAAGAGTCCCCTGTGTTTCTCCCTTGTTGACAAAGCAATAAACATTCTTTTTCCTTTTCTCCAAAACCTCATCTTCATGATTGGATTGGCTTTGGGGACAAGGACCGAGCTTTCAGGAATGGGGGTGAACCACATCTCATTGTAAGGGAGACTGGGAAGTAGAGGCTGGCCCACTGGTCTGTGGAGGTTCTACGCCTAGGAGGCACAGAAAACAGGTTCTGCTGCAAGGCCCCAGCTTCTAATCCAGTCAAAAGGAACAGGGACAGCCAGCTGAAAATAGGCAGGTACCCCTCAGGCAGCTTGCCGCAGTGCCTCTGGACATCCTCTGGAAACACAGGTTCAGACTGTGGGGCGGACTGCTTCCTAAATAAGACTGAGCAAGTCCCACAGGCGGGTCCTTTGTTAGGCCCAGTTCAAGCCCTTTTTCTGAGCCAAGCGCCCCTCCAAGCTCTTCCTGCCCCCCCACCCCACCCCAAGGCTTTGTCATACCACACCATTCCCTGGAGAGGGGACTGTGGAAACACCAAGCCCCTGTCATTCAGCATCTCAGGAACAATATTGCCTGAAGTGCCCCGGGCTGGCTTAGGGCTTGGGGAAGGGCGGGCTCCGTTGGGAACAAAGAAGCTTTGCTGAGCTGGAAGCCAGAGGCCCACAGCCGACTCCCTGGAGTTTCGGCCTCTGGGTCTTGAATGCCTGGCTTTTTGTTTGAAAAAGAAAAGTGTTTTTGCAAAGTCCCCAGGCTGCCTCTCACATAGAAATCAGGGCTCCGAGGAGCCAGAGGGAGGGGGAGGCCAGGGAACAGGGAGGACTGGGGGAAGCTGCCAAGGTGCTGGGAGCTGTGGGGACTTGGGGCAGCGAGGGAGGGAGACACGTGGTCCCTGCTGGGGCGGAGGCAGTAGGAACAGGTGGAGGGGCTGAGAGCTGCCAGTCTGGAAGCAGTGGAACGGAGGGGTCATGTGACAGGGGGATCCTGTGTCCTGGAGTTAGAAACCTGTGCTGAGGTGGGGACTCAGCCGAGCCTTGGAGGGGGCAGATGGCCCCAAGGAGGGCTCTCTGTGCCTTGCTTGAGCCAACAGGGGAGACCCCTGAGTTCCATCTGTCCTGGGCACCCCATGGAGACAGGGAGTGGCACCCTGGCCAAGGCCCTGACAAGGTGGCCGGGGGACCCTGTGTGGGTAACTTGTCACTGTTAGGGGTTGAGTGTGCCTTCACCCAGAGTGAAGGGGAAGCAGGGATGGAGAGGGGACCCTAAGAGACTGGTTCAAACCAGCAGAGACATCACTAGACCGGACACAGTTTGAAAAAATGTAAATCATCCTTCAGGGAATGTGAGGGGTTTCTTTAAAAAGGGGAAATTTAGAGCAAATCTGGGCAGTGCTGTGTGTCTAGACCCTCCTCAGCCTGGGCCAGGAACCCTGCTCCCACCAGAGGGCCTGGGGCGCTGGGCTGGGCTGGGCTGGGAGTGGGCTGGTCTGGACTGTTAGACAAGAAGCTGGAGTGAGCAGAGACCCAGGGGGCAACATAGCAGGCTCTGTGCTAGAAGATAGGACAGAGACCCACCCAGCCCTGGAGGGCAGGAAAAAGGATGATGGATCAGGCAGGGTGGGTGGAGGGTGATGGGTGGGAAATTCTCAGCAATTTGGGGAGGAAAAAAAGGGGTGGCGGGGAGCTGAGTATGGTGGTGCCTGCTGTAATCCCAGGGATTTGGGAAGCTGAGGCAGGAGGATTGCAAGTTTGAGGCTAGTTTCAGCAACTTGGTGAGACTGTCTCTCAAGATAAATAGAAGGGTTGGGGGTGTAGCTCCGCCCAGCGTGTGGGAGGTCCTGGGTTCCATGCCCAGAACTGCAGGAAAAGGAATCCAGGATGGTCCTCAGGTAGGAGGGACTGGGGTCCACGTGGTTTTGCTGCGTGGTGGCCCAAGCCGTGGGTCTGATCCCATTGGTTCAGGTTAACACCAGGACTCTGCTTTTTAGTGAGCCCTCCTAGGGAGGGGACTGTCCCTCTGTCATCAGGGCTGGAGACTGTCTTCATCGCAGGAGTGGGCCCAGGGCGAAGAACTTGCCAGGCCCAGCTCCTCCACTGGACGTAAGGAGGCGGGATCCCCAGCAGCATTCCCAACTGACAGAGAGAAAATGCAGCCCGTCTGTCCGTGGTCCAGCTGGAATCCGGTCCTCCATGACAGAGCAATTCCTGAGAGGTCTCTGTCGATGCAGTGTGCTGGGGAGGGGAGCGAGACCAGGCTTTCCCACAAGAGTGGGCGTCCCCTTGCACCCCTGAGGTGAGGCCTCCGTGGGAAAAGCAGCCCTGTCACCCAGTGTCCTCCCAAGACCACCTGCCTATTCCCAGAGGGGACTTGGGGCTCCCATCCCTGTGAGGTTGGCCAGAGGCCAGGCTTTCCTCTATGCCCCTGTTAAGGGGAGCAGGGGTCCTAAGCTAGGCACCTGTGAGACCAGGCCTAGAAGGGGACAGTCAGGACCCAGCGTCTTCAAGAAAGAAAAGAGGCAGCAAGTGTGCAGAGGTGTCCCCGACTGAGAAGGGTGAGGACAAGCCAGGCCTGCTGGGGACTGAGAGAAGACAGCAGGATTGGGCTGGGTGACAGCCAGTCGTGGTGTGGGTTTGATGGTAGGCGAAGAGAGTTCTGCTTTTGTCTGAACCCAGAGATCTGGGGAGGAAGGAAAGATGTGGTTTCTCAACATTACTGGAGGGTGCAGGGGGCCGCCAGCAGGCGGGCCTGACCTCATCAGGAGCCGTACACCAGAAGTGATGAAGGCTGGGCTGGAGGTGACTGGAGCCCCTGGATCTGGCTTCAAAGTAGTCTTCAACTTGACACCGACAGAGGATGAAAAAAAAAACCTGTTTTTAGGAGAGCTATTTTCAGGACTGATTTCAACTCTGATCACAACACCAGCCCTACAGGGCTGAATGGAGCCACCAAAAAGCCACCCTTTCATCCTGGGTCCTCCGTAGCAAGAGCCCGGTGGAGGTCTGGTCCACAGTATCCCAAAGAAACCTCAAGTGAAGGGTTTAGGAGGGGCTGAAGCCCCTGGAGATCTCTGCACGTGGAGGCAGTTCCTTAGAGTGGCCGCTCCTTCCTTACTTGGACCCACGTGTTGGGGTCTGAGGCTGGGCTCTGAAGGGGCAGCTTCATCCTCCTCCTGTTCTGCTGGTGCCATGATTCTTCCAGAAAGGCCCGGTCTGCAGGTCTGCAGGAGGTGTTCACTTTTGTTTGTTTTGACTAAATTGCAGGCACAATAGGAAAGAGAGTCGACTAAATCAGACTTCACTTGCCTGTGTGCATAGATGATGGCTCGACCAGTGTCATTCTACATGATGGACAACCAGAGAATGAGAAGTCGTACTCCATATGTGTAATATGACACATGGGTAATATGCCAAAATGCATTCTACTGTCATGCCTAACTAGTAAGAAAGATCAAAATATATTAAAACAAAAATTGCAGGCACAAGCCCCCAGGTGACCAGCTCCTAGGGGCTCTGCTGAGAGCTGGCCTGGGCTCCCTGTGGCTCTTCTAACTCCTCTGCAGGCAGCCAGTGGGGAGCAAGCAGGTGTATCCCTGCCCCGGCAGAACAGAGAAATAAAACTAGCACCAGAGTGTTCACCCGGAGAACCACCTCCCCTGCCTGACATTCAGGCCCAAGATGTTAACCAAATCCAATCATGAGGAAATGAGAACTGACTTAGTCAAAAATATCAATATTAAAAGAAATAATGCTGGGCACGGTGGTGCAGGCCTATCACCCCAGGGACTCTGGATGAAGGAGATGAGGGGAGTCATTAGCTGCACTGTGAGGTCCTGGGGTTCCAAAGACCTTCTGAAGACATCTTTGGGACAAGACGAAACTCTGGTTATAGATCATTACATAACGATATATCAATATTAAGTTTTGGGGATGTGATAAATGGGGTTGAGTTCTGTAGCCCGATATCGTTCTTAGGGGATAGGTGTGGGAGCATCTAGGACTGAAGTATTCTGATGAGCACAGTCTGTTTTCAAATGTTTCATGTGAGTGTGCACATGTGTGCATGCCAGAGACAAATGGGAGTGTGAGCACAGAGTAAAAAAAATGTGACAGCACACTACCTGCAGGCTTGCTGTGGTTGGATACGGTTGCTTGTGTTGAACTCAAGCCCAACTGTGACGTGTCCGAGGGTGGGAACTGCATCTGACCATAGAGGCCACAGGTGGGGCCTTTGGCGGTGAGTGGGATTAGACAAAGTCTAATCAGGGTGGAGTCTAAGTTCCACTCCTGCTGGCTTTATAGAGACAACAGAGGACACACAGATTTCCTCTCCTGCTGTGTGATGCCCCGTGCCACAAGGCAGGAAGGACTGTGCCTGTGAGGCCATCATTAGATGCTGTCCCTTGACCTTGGACTGGAACTATGAGCCCAAATTAAACCTTCATTCCTTTGTAACTCACGCAGTCTGTGGTGTTGTGTTATTGGCAACATAAAAGGAACCAATACGGAGCTTCCTAGTGTCTATGTTCGACTCTTTTGAAGTCTTTCCAAATAAAAGTTGAAAAGAAGTCATTGCCAATGTAACCAAATGGCATCACCGTCCCTGTCAGCCTTCTTCTGTCATCTTTCCAAACACTGTAATAAATGATTAATGCACTGTTCCTCTCTGTGGTAAGGACAGTCACAGTTTTTACGCTGGGCACCTCTCACTCCATGTTACTGCTCTCCCTGGGCCCTCTGCACCCACAGACCGCCTGTGCTCAGGGATGCTATTTTAATCACGACTGCTCTGCCACCACAGACCACAGCACACAGCCTTCCTTTTCAGAATTTATTTCATCTGCTAACATTCATTCTCAACCTAGACAAAAACAATTAGATGATTATGACTTGCCTTTCCATTATCAACTCATTTTTTTTGTATGAATAACCAAAAGATTTCTTCTCAACACTTTTTTTTTTTTAATAAGAAGCTATAAATAAATAAAGCTTTTAAACGCTCCTGGGTTCAAGTTAAACAGTTCCAGTTCCCAAAAAGTTCAGACATGTTGATTGGACAGTTCTGCTGTCCCTGGTGCCCCCTCCAGGAGGGGACATCTGCAGGTCTGTAGGGTGCTTGTGACCAAGTTGTTAGCTCACTGCCTGCTGGCTTCTGTCCTCTGAGTCCTGGGACATCTAGGTGCTGTGGGCACAAGGAAACTTTGCCCCCAAAGCAGGTGGCCTGAGTGGGAAGTGCTGGGTTGGACGGCCGAGGAACTGAGGGTCCCTCAGCCTGGTGGTGGCCTGAGAGGGGGCTATTTTCCCAATGCAGCAGATATTGAGAAGAGACCCATGCTTCCACGAGAGCTGGGACAGCGGGGAGTAAGTGAAAACATATTCCAATATGTACAAATCAGATCCTACACTCAGGCCCGCGCACACGGGAAGCACACCAAGGAGAGGCCATCTTGAGACTTGGGTACCCACTTCCTGTGGCCTGTGAAAGACTGCAGGGCTCCCCCAACAAACTCGTCCTCTCCCTCGGAGTATGCCCACCCCAGACAAGCATCAGAACTGATCCTTCCGCGTGGCTTGGCCTCTCTTTAAAACAGCCACCCTGCTGACTCACCTTGGTGCCCACCTCCTCAGTGTGGCCACTCACACGGGAGGTGGCTCTGGGCTGGATGATGCCCACCTAGAGCCTGTCTTGCCTTTGGACACCAAAAAGTCCCTTGCCCCCTGCCTGTGGCAACAGATGCCTTCATTCCATGGTGGGACAGCAAGGGTGGCCAAAAGAAACCCGGGGCAGGAAAGAGGTCCCTGTTCTGCTCCGGGGTCAGCCTGCAGCCTCTGGGCACATGCACATGCCCTCTGCAGAGCCAGAGTGCCTGACACTCAGGTGAGGACTCTCCTACGCCTCCTAGAATGAATGGGGGACAGGGCACGGGTCAAGTGTTCACAACATGGCTTCTAGTAGGGCCACTGGCTAGCCTGCGGGGCTGCTGGAAACAGGGCCTGGCCAGTCTTTGGGAGGAGCAGGGAAGTGCAGAGAGCCAGGGTCAGGAGGGCTGAGTATCTGGGTACCAGAGCTGTTTCTTCCAACCCTAGTTGAAAATCGGAATCTAATTTGGTTCATCCTGGCCATCCAGAACTACTATGGCCCCAGGGTACGGCTCACGGCAGCAGTGTGGTTTCGCCTTCCAGCCAATGGAAGCTTATTGTACTTTTATACTCAGGGTTGTAGGAGCAGTGGGATGTGAGCCCTTGACTAATTGCCCCAGTGATGGGGTTGGGGGCAGAGGGTCAGAAAGAACAGGGGTCGGGAGAGTTCTTAATGCCCATGCCCTTGCTGTCTGAGCCTGGTCAGCCTGGGTGGTCACCCCTAGAGACCAGGTTGGACTGAATTTTGACCATGGGCCAGAGAGAGAAGTGGGCTTCCTAGAGGCCACCAGTCTCCTCTGCCGCAGCTGGGGTGGCTTCTGACCATCAAGCAGCTATGGATGGCTGAACCTAGAGTTCCGGTCCTGAGGACACTTTAGACAGCTGCCTGGGTTCCCAGGGATACCCTTCTAGGACCTGGGGGTATCAGGGCCCTCAGAGGCCAAAAAGCTTCAGGTTGGTTGCTTGGAGTTGGTCTCTCGTCCTTACTGGCCTGGACAGAGGGCAAGAGAGTACAAGTGTGTGCATAGTTGGTGTGGGACTCATTCCTGGCACATCCTCACTCTGATGTCTCTCTTCTCCAAACTTCCTGCTGTTGTGACAGTGATGTGGGGGTGAGGAGAGCAGAGAGCCACCTACCCGGAAGCCCCATCATGTCCAACATGCCTGGGGCATCCTAGCACACCTTCTTCTGACCTACAGGGCTACACACGTTGTCAGGCCTCCAGACTGTGGCAAACAGCAAGACCCGCCCTGCCTGGCCCACCCTTTCCCCACTCCATTTTCCTCCAGGATGTATCTGCCTTCTGATAAACGGGTTTGGGATGCTTCCCTCAACAGTTTTGGGTGGGCCCTTCTGTGTGTGAGTCTGCGTCCCATTTCATCCCTGCCCCTGCGAGGCCTCCCCAGCGGCCGCCACCACTACCACTTCTCGATGATGTGGCTCATGTAGTCCTCGGTGGGCACTCGGCCTGGCTCCTCCGCGTCCTCCCGGGGCAGCGCCTCCTTGGCGCGATGCAACAGGCGCTCCTCGCGGCTTTTGAGGCGCTGCTCCCGGCGCTCCAGCTGCCGCTTGTACTGGTAGCGCTGCTGGAAAAGGTCCTTGGCATAGTCATAGAGCTGCATGTCGAGGTCGTTGAGCTCTTCGATGCGCCGGATGGTGTCCTCGTCCACCTCCACGCCGCCCGCCCGCGTGCTGTTGTACTGCATGAAGGGCCGGATGAACTTGAGGTTGAACGTCCGCTCGAACAGGTACTGGGTCTTGCGCTGGAACTCGGTCAGGCCGAAGAAGGCCATGCCGCGCAGGTTCTTCTTGGCGCTCTCCAGCAGCAGCTGGGCCCGCTTGCCCTCGGGGATGAAGGACAGGTTGTAGCAGCCCACCAGGCTCAGGTCCGCCAGCATGCGCACCTGGCGGTTGTTGGCCAGGTTGTACGGGCAGTCCATGAACTCCTGCAGCGTGCAGCCCGACCAGTCCGTGCCCTCGTAGCAAGGTGGCAGCTCCTCGGGCGTGGGCGTGCGCCCATCACACATGTGCAGCGATGTCTTCCACGTGGCCCCACGCTGCACGTGCCGCCACTCACTCAGGTAGCGCGACACGGGGTCTCGTAGCAGGGTGATGTAGTAGAACTTCCTGCAAGGAGAAGGAGACCAGGAGAAGAGTTAAGGTAAGACGGGTGATGAAGCGGGAGGGGAGGAGGCTGGAGCTGTGACTCTATGGGTCTCCACTGCAGGACTCCGGAGCAAGTAACTTCGTCCCCAACTGCTGCATTTAGCTGTCAGAATGCCATTTCTGAATGGGAAATCCCTGGACTCTGAGATGTGAAGGAACCCATCCGGGGAACAAAGGTACCAAGTGAGACCACCAAGGGGTGACCTGCAATGCCTGACCTCTGTGGCTAGGCTGTAGGCTGGGGGTTGTTCCCAGGAGCTCCTGACTATCCTCACACTTAGTTTTAGTGGCGTCTGAGGCTCCTTGCCTTCTTCCAGAACCCCGCTTCTCAACTCCACTTTCAACAAGAAGAGTGACAGTGCTCCTGTGTGTCTGGGAGCAGCAACGAGGAAACTGATTAAAAAAGCCTGGGGGAAAATGCTCCACTGCATTGGTCACTGAGGCAGTGACCATCATGAGATAGCCATGAGATAAGCCATTATGAGATGGCATTTGAGTGACAAGAAGGAAAAACCTGACAATAAATAGCTGGGCATGAATGTAGGGCTAAGCTAACTCCCAGCAGCTGCTTATGGGGTGTGAACGGGGACAGGTGTTTACGGTCTTCACCGGAAAGCTCAGCATGCACACACCCCATGACACCTCCATTCCTCTCTGAGGCAAACATCCCACAGAAATCTTGTCATGTGCAGCAGGAGGCATGGATAAGACTGTCCACAGCAGCACTGCTGGTGACTCCCCTAGACACCTACCCTACGGCATGGGCACATTAGTGGTGGCATATTCTGGAGGAATACTACTCAGCTGTTCACAACATGGGCAAACTGGAAGAATAAGATGTTGTAGGGAAAACAAGAAGACTTCACCAAGTATATGTTTATCAAGTTTCTCAGAATAAACAAAACCCAAGAAAAATTAGTGACACACATATATGAAAATTATCAAATTGTGAAAGATGACACATATGGAAAATTTAAGTCAGAGGCTAGTCCTGGTGTGTTCTGGGGGTAGGAGAGGCCAGGCACGGCACCAGGGGTGCTCATAGTGGCTCTGATCATGTCCCGATTCTGGAGGAGGGCAGTGGGGATACAGGTGTTTATTATGATTTATTTCTTACGTACATTGTGCAAGTTCTGTATGTACCAAACACGTCGTGACAAAAGATTTAAAGAAGGGAAGGAAGGCAGACAAGATAGATCCTGCAGGACAGTCCAAGAGGCTCCCGCTGCCTCACAGGGAAACTGGCCATCTTGCCAAAGCCAGAGCCTTGGTCTCACACAGCTTCCCAGGCCACTTTGTACCTTTGCTCCTGCTGCGTTCTCTCACCTCCAGTGCCCAGCCACCTCCACATCTCCAGCATGTCACCTCCCTGTCCCTTCTATGCCAACACTACTGCAGTGAGCCAGGAGGGGGAGGCTCCTGTGGGTTTCAGTGATGGGGGAATGTCTCCACTTAGGGATGGCGAGGGTGGCCAGTTGCCAGGTCAGCTGGGGCTGCCCTGTGGTTTGTTAACTAACTGCAGTAATGAGCCTGACTGCTCTGTGGCTTCTCCATGAAGGAAGCTCAGGTCTCACTGAGCCCTAGCATCCGGCTGGTGGTTGGTCTCGTCATCCAGAGGGACTTGGGGATGAAAACAGGAACAGCTCTGACCCCAGGGACTTCACTATTGCTAACCCAGAGGCAGGGGATCAGGGGACCCTGTTCAGTAGCAAATTATGCTCTTTCAGGGCGACAGGCCCCTGAAATCTTCTATGAGCACAGTGGTCCTCCCCTACATAGTACCCACAGCACACTGACCTCCACTGCAGGTGTCTGGATGCCTACTGTGTGCCCTTCTGGACTCTCAGCAGTCACCCTGCAGTGGGGCATGTACTGGTCACCCAAGGTTTAAGAGGTGGCCCTGCCTATACTTCTTCCTTTGAGCCTCCCTTGCAACTCTGGCTGCTTATAACCACCCTCCAGTCTGTGACAGGATGAGCTGTGGGCAGCACCTCTATAGTTGTGGGCATATTGTCCCTAGGCCTGTATGTGCCAGCCAGTCCTGGTAATTCTGGGACAGCTCATGCTGCCCAGGGCGATGGGGGAGAGACTGCTGAGAGTACCAAGTACCCACATCAGTCTGAGGGCTAGCTGGCCTTGGCCACAGGGCAGGATGGGCCTAGGTGGGCTGCATAGGAAGGGATCCATCCACCTAGGAGGGGCCAGGAGCACTGGGAAGCGGAAATGGCTGTGCTGTCAGTATTTGGCCTCCAACCCTTTAGTTGGCCATGAATTCATATCTGGGCAGCTCACTGCTGTCACATGGGAACTGGTGGACTGTTGGCCAGTGGGTTCTGGGATTGGATACATTGTGGGGCTGACATGGGGTGAAGTAGTAGCCCCTGTCCTGGCATGTAGGTGGCCCGTGGGAAGGCAGGTTCTAAACCTCCACAGTAATGCTTGACAAAGGACATGAAGTAGCAATGCCTCTGGCCCTTGATGACAGCAGCCAGTACTTGGGTGTCTGCTTAGGGAGGGCAGGCATTTCTCCTGTTCCGCAGCGGGGTGTCCCAAGGCTGAGAGGTGGGGTATGTTGGCTTTCCAGTACCATTTTCAAGTGCTCTGGTTTGGGTGGAGTAGGACCAGAAGAGAAAGGGAGGTGGCGATCCCTGGGGCTGTGGGCACCAATCTCGAATGTGGGGGGACAGGGGGGCTTCTCAGAGGAAGCCTTACAGTGGGGGCGTGGCCTTGTCTCAAGAAGGAAGTGCAGTGGAGGTTGGAGGCTCAGGCAAAGCCAGGCTAAGGAGGGTCTTGCCTATTTTATAGAAAAAATAAGCTCAAATGGGTAATGGCCCAGAATGCAAAATTCACACGGAATTCAAAGATAAAGCATGAGACCTCAAAGAACTTCTGCCCTGTGGAGTATTTCTCATCTGTGTGGAAAGCAGCTTCTCCTGACAGCCCACGGGATTTATCGCTGGGATCATGCACTCTGGCATTTAATTATGGCTGTTCTAATGCATTCCTTGACCTTCAGCTGTTCTGACATTTTTGTGGGCACTGGTTTAAAGTGCCCTACAATCATGTAAGATCCTGGTGGGTAAGGAGGACGTTTTCTTCTTGAGTCTGTTAAATAAGAATTATAGGAGGTGGCTGTTTTGGACAAGACTCCTACACTGGCCCAATGGACCACACTAAAAACCAAAATGGAGTGACTCACGCTAAAATTCCGTATCACCAAACACAAGCTTAGTTGTCAAACTTAGCTGATGATTTGGAGAAATTAGGAGACAGCAACAAACGAATTTCCCCAACAGGCCAGTTTCAATGGGCAGGATAACAAAAGTTCTCTTTGCCTTAATTAATCCTTACAAAAAAAAAAAAAAAAAACCCAAAAACCTAACCTGATATTAACCAGTCAGTTATTTCCCCTTCATTAGTCTGTCTCCTTGCCCCTGCCTTACAAGGAAAGTAACTTTAAAATGACCAACTGCTGGGACGAGGATTGTGGCTCAGTGGTAGAGCGCTTGCCTAGCACGAGTGGGACCTGGATTCGGGTTTGATCCTCAGCACCACATAAAAATAAAGGCATTGTGTTGTGTCCATCTACACCTAAAAGATAAATATTTTTTTTTTAAAAAATGACCAACTGCTCTTTGATTCTGCTTTCTTCAGACTTTTCTCTCTATAAAACCAACCTCCTCTGCTCAGATCATTGGCTCACTCATTCTATTTTATGGAATGAAGTGCTGCTTCATTTTAGAATCATAAATCGAGTTAATTGAGATGTTTAGTTTAAATTAGCTTCAATCTGGTCTTTTGACAGTTGTGAAACTGCTAGGGCTCCAATGAGGACTGGATCAAGATGATTCTAGCACCACTAGACTTTATAAGTGATGGGGAAACTGGGTTCAGTGCCAAATGACCCCAGGCCAGAGCAGGCAGCTTTGCTGATAACCCCCCCCCCCCCAAAAAAAAAAAAAAAACCCTCTGAGATGTCATAAATTACAAAGGCTGGAGGAGGATGGCAAAGAAGAGAGAAAAAGAACTTAGTTAATTGGCTGAAAGAGGAGGGCCAAACCAACAAGACTGTTTTCAAATTTCTGACTTAAATCTCAGGACCAGGCACCACCATGCCTCATTTACATATAAACCTTTGGGACTATTAATATCAATACAGAAGCAATAAGTAGACTTATTTATGGACTGTGCACCTATCTCAAAACTTTCCCTTATTAACATAATCCTGTCCCTCTTATCTACAGCCAACTAGGTTCAATGTGAACAATTTATGTTCTCCTTCCCTCAATTTTCACTATGACAATACTCTTGGCTCTTAGGTCCGGGGAGGTACTTCTAACTGCTACTGAACTTTGCTGCTGGTGGCTATGGGATCTTGTCCCAAGACCGGTCCTTTCCTGGGTAGCATCTGAAACAGCTCAGTAAACCCTTTTATTTCACAGATCCCTTAGTCTCAAGAGTTTTAGTGAAGGGATGGGGGGKGTGTGTGGCAGTATAGCTTAGAGTCATGCCTAGCATGCATGAGACCCTAGGTTCCATTCCCAGCACTGGCTTAAAAAAGAAAAAAAAAATGGTTTTAGTTAAACACTGGGCACAGCAGTGACTGGAGGTGACTTCATTTTCCCTCCTCTGCCCGAGAGGATTGGTTTGACACAATTGATGCCTGCATCTACCATTCCTGACTCTTCCTTGGAAGCCCAGGACTCCAACCAGACACAAGACCTTAAATCTGGCTCAGGAGACACAGTGGTACACACCTGTAGTCCCAGCTACCTGAGTGGCTAAGGTGAGAGGGTTGCTTGAGCCCAGGAGTTTGAGGCCTGCCTCGGCAACACAGCAAGAACAATATCAAAAGACCATGAATCTGGCTCAAGGCATGTGGAAAGTCCAGAGTTGGGGGTGCTGGTGGCTTGGTGAGGGCCTTGCACAGTAATTCCACCTGGAAAGAAGGGGTGAGGTAT